CTAGGCGCCCTCTATTTTAGTATATAAGCCCAGCAAATAAAGCAGATATATAATAGCAGATAGACAGATATAAATACAGATTGAGTCAAGCGAGCTGTAGTGACCACAAGTAAAGTGCGTGAATCCTTGTGAATTATAGCGTGTGTTTAGAAAAGTAGTTAAGTTTAAAGTGACTGTGGAAATTAATTGTATTACAAAGTTTGTAACGAGAAAGAATAAACTAGTTTTAATTAAGAAAGGGCTTGTATCACTGAAGTTTCTCGGAAAGAAAGTTTATGGGAAATTAACAAACGAACAGGTTCATAATTTTGAAATATTAACCAGACAAAAGCCAGTCAGTCAACATTATTTGCGTTTATACTTCTTTTACCTAAATAATGGGATTGACTGTCACATTTATATTGCACTAAAGTATGTTCAGCAGCATCACCTCTCAAACCTTGTGCCCTTCCTTAGATCTGCAACCTGACACACTAACCACCAGGCCATGCCCAGTCCCATGCTATAGATTGATTTGTTACATGGAAATCTGATGGAAAAACCTATAAAAATGATTTATTACATGGGGCTTTACTGGAAACTTATACAGAGTGATTTGTTAGATATGGGTCATCTCGATCCTGATAAGTATTCATAAGTCACAGAAAACTTTTCTCCAAGTTAATGCAGATTGGCAACGTACTCTACTCTTCCAAAAGCTGACAAGTTTGTTATATTAAATAAAACTATTCTAACAGTTATAGAAATTGATGTATTATTAAGGACTGTATTAAATATTAATTGTTACAGGAGATTTACCATAAGAGAATTTTCTAACCATTGTCTTAAATTGATTTAGTATATGAGACTTCTATAAGCTGTTACAGAATAATATATTGTTTCAGAATTGCTGAGAATCTAAAACAGGTTGGTGTATTATTACATGGCACTTTTTTGAAAAGTAAATTGGTTACTTACTTGTTTTGAAGAATCAGAAGATGAATTTGGACTTTTCATGTGAAGATGTTTCATCATGGCTTCAAGTCTGTCCTTCTCCTTTGTCAGTTGAATCTCAAGTTGGGAAACTACTTGCATCTGTACTCTAGCCTGAGCAGTGCTCCGGTCATCCAAGTGGTGCTCCTTGTTTAAATGTCTGTGTTTAATAGAGATGAATACTTTTATTTCTTTTAGTGCAATTATTACCAAAACTGGATCAGGTGATGCCATCTCCATTGTTATAACTGATGGATATTCTTTCAAAATAACCCCTAATGTACTTTCAATCTTTTCATATAGGAACACGAATCTCTTTTTTGGCTTTTTCCTGTACAATTACCACATTTTGAAATTTACTGCATCTGACTTTGTAATGTTTGATTACCAAGTAACTTATTTGTGAAAATCATATCATTCTTTTTATAATATTTCCAAAAAGCATGATTTCTCTAAACAATCCATCTGTGGTCCAGAATTATTAATTAGAGCACAAGAAAATAATTTTAATAAGCTTACTGAAAAAACATCATATACTGATGTAGGACATGTATATTTACATGGAGGAGAAAGGAATATTTGTTACCCATGTCATGAGACATACATCAGTTGCTAATGCAGGCTCATGATATGGGTGATGAACACTGCTTGTTCTTATGTTTTAATGCATATTTACATAAATCATATTTATGAGATTTGTACGTATTGAAATAAAATGTCTTTCATTGAGATATAAATAAACAGTAATCTTCAGGTAAGCAATGCCACAAATATGTATAAAAAACGTTTCACAGATAACACAACATGAAACTAGCATATGTAGTATAATTATAGCTATATGCCCTGCAAATAATAAAAAATACTATTGTGTAACATGTGTTTTTTCTATCTGTTTGAAAAACTGAGGATAAACTGTCATCATTGCTAATATATAGGTAGTTTTTAAATAGCAGTGAGGGCTAAAGCATATAATTAATCACTTCATTTTGAGTTACTACAGGCCTTTGTAGGCAAAATGTTTTTTTCATTGATTAAAATATTCAGAGCTGCTAAGTTTCCTCAAATTTATATTACAAGTCAATACTTACAGGATGAATGATTGTTGGTCTTCACATACTGTTTCACATCCGGGCCATTTACAAACACCATGACCAAACAGTGGATGAAGTTGATTTGCAACAGACCAGCTAATATCTTCCTTTATTGAACAGCTTGAATTTTGTTGTCTTGTAAATCCACTTTTGGATGATGGCACAGAATTTGGTAACCTAAATCCCTCCTTTTGCTGTTGCCCATTCAGCAGGTGATCTGGTGATAGAATTGATAACACTGAACTCTGACAGTTAGACACTGTAGTAGAAGTGTTATGGATCATTCCATTCAATCCTGACTTTAATGATCTCTCTTCCACACTCAATGCCTCATCTTTCCACAAGTTCTGGAAGTCACTAGATGAAATTCCTGAAAATGGATATCGTTCAAAAACATATTAAAAACCACAGATTAAATATAACATGGTAGAAGCCATTACTCATTAAAAAATTATATATAAATGTTCCAAAACACAAATACTATTTGCAACTATTTTAAATATATATCAGATTCAATAAAATAAGATTTTAATGTTTGCTTAACAATATACAACTCTTGGTTATATTAACAGATAATAATAAGAAAAGATTTTGTGACAATGTTGTCACAAATAAAACACTTTTCAACAAATAGCTATCTTAAGAATGCAAAATCCCAATATTCAGCATAAACAAAACAAATGATAATTAATTTTTCTGATGTGTCCAGTTTAGTTCCCCAAAAGAATCCAAAGGTTGCCTGTAGGGATCACCTGTTTTAACCAGTTGCACCACTATACAGTAGTGTTTTCTGTCTGTCAATCAGTAGACACTAAAATGACATCGCATAAGGAACACTCAACGTTGCAATTTGTACTGTCGTTACTTCAGTAAAACTTGCGCATTCCATAACTCACAAGAATAATTATGCACTCTGTAGACTACAACACAGCATGACATATGAACTTCAAAAATAAGAAATAAAAATATTTACTATTCTTAATTTTGGTTTTATTTGCTCTAGAAACAGAACACTTTTGGGAAGCCTTTTACTTACCCTGTGAAAGTAAGAAAGGAGGCAGCCCTAGTATACTATAGCGATGTGATAGCTGTAGCTGCTGCATTAGTTGGTGCTGCTGTAAGGCCAGTTGCTGAAGCTGTATCTGAAGCTGTTGTCTACTACTTTTGGCCTTGTCTCCTGAGGCTACACTGTTTAAGTTGTTTAAAATCTGGCTTTGTTGCATCATGTTTAACTGTAACTGTTCATGGAGTTGTGGAATAAATGACTCCAATTGTTCAACTTGTTGTTGTTGTTGCTGCTGCTGTTGCTGTGAAATAATGAAACAAATTTTTGGCATGATATTAAAAAAAATCATATTTAACTGTTCCAAAGAAATTGCAATTCTAATAAGTTTTTGAACTGTATTTGTACAATAATAGCGTTGTTTCGATAAATTTTGAACATCCAGAATAAAATATCCTAGCTATAAATATAAACACTTTCCCTGAAGAAGAATACTCAACTATTCGAAAGTCCTCGAACATTAGATAATTTTTTTAAATTCATTGCACCTTTTGTGTGTGATCCTGTGTGCTAACTCTTTTATCAAACTAGTTAAAAACAAATACATTTTAATTACTACACCTGCATGATATTCTATCATTCATTCTAGTTTAACACATTTCAATTGCAACGTGAAGCTGTATTGAAATATTCTAGCATTCTATCCAAATAAGTGGTCACTAGATGTCTCTGCATTTCTGTAATAATATATAATACATCAATCCTACTGTCGGAAATACTGAGAATCTGTGTAATCTGATAAAAGCAATCAGTGCACTGTGTGCTAACGGGTTAATTAGCAATTAGTCTACCGAGTTTCTTTTCATCTGAGGGTACAATATGTACAGACTACGAGTGACAGAAACACAAGAGAATCCTAATCACTTATCGGCTTCAAAAGAAAATTAATGAGAAATCTGCCAACCAGGAGGAACTTTTTTTATTCTTTTGTTAAACCGGTAAAGGACTGGAAACGGCAGAAAAATTTGTATTGTTTTTTAGCTTTTAACTTAGGTTTTATCTCATGGTATTAACCAAATTAGTAACATAAAAAAATTGTATTTTGACGACAACAATGTGTCTTATTATCCCTTTCAATGGGTACGTGTTACAATTTACTACAACTTAGTTGTTACAAATATACGGCGATGTACCATACACAAACAACATCTAATTGTTTCGATAGTGGATTACATATATTGCTTTAAATTTTAATCACTTACAACATTCCAAAGAAAGAAAATCATTCAACACTTGATTCCACCAGGGAGTAATGAATAAAAAACTAACTAAACACTTTCTAGTGGCTGAAATAAAAATATGTCAGGTTGACATTTCTAATGAATATTTTATATATAATATTTTATGTTACAAAAACAAAAACACAGGAGACTTTGTGAACAGAAACATAACTAGGTCTGCTGACTTGTTCCACTGCTTACTGGTTTATTGAGTTTGCTTCCGAGAAGCGTCTTAAAGCTCTAAATAAATTGTAATTCTACTTCGAATTTGAGCGACTGCACAAAGGGCAACGGAAAGCTTCACAATTTAAAATAATTAAAAAAACATTAGCAATTTCTACGCTTGTCAAAATACTCAACGATCAAATCTTTAAAATTAACAGTGCAGTTCAGACAAAAGTTAACCAGTCAATCTAAACATGAATAGGGACCAGTGAATCGTCTAGTTTTCTTAACAAACGAATAGGGTTGACTTCAGTGTTAACTCGTTAGTGTTTAGGGGTTTAATTTACTGTTTATTAGATTTGCCGTCAGTATAATACAGTAATACGATAGCTTTTCGTAAGTATGGGTACTAATGAATATATGATGTTATTGGTTTATTTTTATAGCAAAAATACACAATGGTTTATCTGCGCTCTGTTGTCCGCGGGGAATCGAGCCCCGGATCTTAGCGTTGTAATCATGTGAACTTAATGCTGACCTATCGGTGGACCCTGATAATGAATAGACAACTCATAATTATAGCTAACTGATACCTGGCATGGTCAGGTGGTCACACCAAACATGCTCGCCCTTTCAGCCGTGGGGCGTTATAATGTGACGACCAATCCCATTATTCATTGGTAAAAGAATAGCCAAAGAGTTGGCGGTGGGTGGTGATGACTAGCTGCCTTCCCTCTAGTCTTACACCGCTAAATTAGGAACGGCTAGCGCAGATTGCCCTCGTGTAGCTTTGCGCGAAATTCAAAAACAAACAAACAAAAACTAACTGATAACCATCTATTTAGTAAATTTCTAGTGAAAATTAATAATTAAAGGTTTGAACTCTTTTAGCTATATTTCATAAATTATCTAACGTATGAATTGAAGACAAGCTCAAAAACAAAACAAATAGAACACTGCGATTGGTCCACAATTATTTTCATTTGCTACAAAATAACAGTTTATCTGTTTCCATAGGTAATATAATTAGATTTATCGACATAAGACGAAAACACCTCCACCAGATGCATATAATAGTAAATCAAAAGCACTGCAGAAAACGCCCGTTAAATATTCTCCAATAAATTGATAAGAAGTATCTTTAATAACTTTACAAGGGCTTCGGAATATTCTATATATATACTTTTTCTCTGGAAAAAATATGATGTTTTTATGTATCGAAGTAATTCACATCGGATGATTTCTATTGTCCATAAATCAGTTTTATAAAATGCTTTAGTCTTAAAAATTAACAAAAATGTTGTCTCAATGTTATTTAAGGAAAATAAAGCAATTATAATAAATAATATATCAAAATACTTTAAATAAATAACTTATTTGGAATTGAATGTGTCTCATATATTTGTTGACGATATCTTAGTCTCAACTGAGTTGAGTTCAGGGATCATCACCAGCTATAATCCCGGTAAAGTATGGATGAAAACAACATTTCAAAGATGTTTATCAGATTGCTAATCTATGCTTCTCAAGATGCACATGTCAAACGGTATAATTTGTCATCAGCAAACTTGATTTCTCATTCAACAAACATTTTGAATGCCACATTTATTACCGCTTCCTATGAAATAACCTACTAAAGCTATAAAAGATAAATGAAGCTTCAGTGTTATTGAATTCTTCTTTGTTTTATTGTTGTTTTCATTATATTCAAAACACAATTATCATGCTATTTAAGCGAAAATTATTTTGTTCTTGGAAAGAATGTTCAATGTTTGTCTCCGTTGACAATTTCGAAATAGATAAGACATTTAGTTTAAGCAAGGAGTATATTCTGGACAAGAAACTGATTCAAATAAGCCACAAAAAGATCTAAGAGACAAGGTCGTGTAGAGGATTAAAAGAAAGTTCTGAGGAATGTGTCGCACATGAAGAAGTAAAAGAATTGTGACATAATACGTGTGAAACAACATAGCCCCAGAACTAATAATGATACAAGTGGAGAGAAAAGTTATTATTAGTGAAGCATGGTTAAAAATGTATCAAAGAGTTTAAATTAAAAGCCCCGAAGCATGGAATGAAATGATGATTTTGCCATTAAATATTACTTTGTATATTTAAGATAAAGATTATTCAATTTCAGAAGAGGAATATTTTCAAGACTCTAGGAATCCTACGCAACGAACTGTTTGAAAAAGTGTTTGGATAAGTAATTAATGTGAAATTCATAAGCGTAAGATTTGATAAAACCAAAACAAGTTGCATCACCGATTATAGAAAATTCCGTTAAGCCTATGATAGTTAACGGTTTCTGTACTAAGCTGATTCGATGAGATTGTTATTGACACGTTGAACGTGAGCGGCACTTTATGCACACACACACGAGCTAAACGGTCAAGTCAGAGATCTGCTAGGGTTCGCATATAGACGTCCTTAATTGTGAACTACTGAAAAATTGGAAGGCAGCCAGTCAGTAGCCCCATTCGCCATAAAGGCTTTGCCTGATTCTGAACCAAATAACGGGTTGACTGTCACTTTTATCACACCCATATCTGAAAGTGTAGACCATTTTCAGACACATCGCGGCACCAGCCTTGAACTTTAGATCTGCTGCTTGCACACTAACTACCAGGCTACGGATACCACAATTAAATATAAAGTTAGACCGAAGTTTGCGAATCTGATCGCAAGCTTTTATCAGCAGAAATTAAGTATGACGAAAATAGTGATTGTTTCGAGGTCCGGCCATGGGTACGGCAGGGGCGCATCAGATACAGGTACTTTGTGAACACCGTACTTCATTAAACACTATCTGATCTCACGTGAAAAAGCAAAAACAAAATCATCAGCAGTACAGAAACGGGTTGAAGTTTTGGAGTAATTTAGCACGGTAACACGTATCTCTGAAAGCTTATGTAGTTAGACTCCAAACAGGAAAAATAATAATTTCAAAGTGTTAGATATATATAAGACTGTTCATTATAAGTTAAATATGAGGGTATTATCTAGCTGATATTGTGCAAGCGTTAAAGTAAATTATATATAGAATCGATAGTTATGGCAAGTTTTCTTATGTACTTTTTTATAAATCATTTGTTGTGTAGTTCGACTGTTGTGAATTGCCGTCATGTTACTCGAACCTTCTGAATTTTTCTCGTTGCTTTAAGTGAGTATTGTTACATCATAACGTCTCGTCTCGTAATTTGTAGAAAGTTCTAGACCTCAGTTGGGCAATATATATATATGTATATATATGCGACCAAATTACTGCAAGTAAGTAAGTTAGTGAAAGTATAAGTAAGATAAGGTTAGTGAGAGATTTCGTCAAATACATATAGACAGTATTTGTAAATTTAACTATAAAGAATGTATAGCGGCGACTTTTAAAGTGTAATAATCGCAGACTGTATTGCAATAACAGAGTAGAGAAGAATAATTCGTCTTGTTAATTGGGTTCTAAAGTAACTGAACCAGATTGTGTGGACTTTTGACGAAAAAAAGAGAATTACGTAAAGCTCTGGATACCACTGTGGTGATTAACTGTTAAACGAATATTTGTATATATGTTAAACTTGTTTTGAATATATTATTTTAAAACAAATGGAATGTATTATGCCTGTTTATTGTTCAAATTACTGTCAACAAGTCACAGACACATGCTGTAGAGAATCTTGCCCATGACCATAAGTAAAATACTGACATTTGGTGAGCGAACCAGGATTATAAAATGGAAAATGGCGGTAGAAAAAGACGTGAATGACAGAGCAAATAGAACTATATAGGCACAGCTGTAGTGATGGCCAAAATATTGTAGAGATTATAACCGCGCTATATAACCATGTCGACTGACTTAGATAAGTGGATAGAGAGGGGGTGAGTGACTTGGGCTCAAAGATAGCAATCTATGAGAGTTTGTTAAACAAAAACAACAACAAGAGACAGAAAAGTGTCAACATGGAAAGAGGATAAGAATACAAAAAAGAGAAAGAAGAAAGTGAGAGAAAGAAGAGACTGGAAATGGAGAGAATAAAAACACAAATTGAGATTGCGAAGCTCACCCAACAAAATAACGAATAACCCAAGAATGACAATGAAGTCAGGGCCAGTCGACCCAAGCTGCCTAAATTTGATTAACAGAAAGATGACGTGGAATATTTGATGGAGAGATAAGAAATATTCACCCAAAGCCAAAACTGGGACAAATGTGACTGGGCAGTCTGTCTTAGCCCACTTATCAGAGGAAAAGGCCTCAACTGACATTTCACTGTTCCTAAAGGAGATAGTACTAAAATACGTGGATGAGATGATCAACCTGGCTGAATAGTATCTGGAAGTCTAAGCAGGAAGTATGACTGCCAAGTCCAACAATAACCAGTTAAAGTCAAAACTAGTGGTGGCTGACCAGAAACATGTTATCACCAAAGGTGATAAGACCTTGACCAAAAGGGAGAAGAGATGCTATACTTATTATAAAATGGGGCAGATTGCGAATGAGTGCAAGTCCGTCACCAACGAGCAACAGCAGAAATTTCAACATATAGCAGCTGGAGCTACATACAGAGATAGTGCTGGCAAGAAACAGGAAAAGAGCGACTATTACCATGAATGCTGCTGCCAGAAGAAACAGAATAAAGAAAACATGTCAGAATCACAACAAGAAGGAAGTGCTATCTCCGTGATTAAACAATGCATGACTGATAGTCAGCTCAAGTTAGCAAATGGGCCAACAGTGCAAATGGTGATTGGAACATGTGACAAACATCGAGAGGTGCCAACAAATCACAACATGCCAGTAGGTGAAGACTTTGTTGGAGACAAGAAAGTAAAGGTCCTATGAGACATTGGGTGCAGCAGTGAGAACCAACCAGTTTAGTATCCGATGACCAGAAGACGAGCAAGGTACATCTGTGTGTGCTGATTGATGGGACAGTGAAAATGTTTAACAGCAAGTATATAGGTCTACAGGAACTGAAGGAAGTACAGAAGAAAGACCCTTCATTGAGAAACTTTGAGAAAATTCCCAGAAGAAAGTGGAGCACAATACAAAAGGGAAAGAACTACAAGGGAGTGCTGTACCAGATCCATCAATGCAGTTCTACTGGGAAAATTAAACAGTTCATAGTACCAGCAGAATACCGGACTCAAGTGATGAAGCTGGCTCACGAGTCCATTGTGGGAGGACACCTAGAAGCAAAGAAGATGGTAGAGAGAATTACCAGCAACTTCCATTTGCTGGGGTCATTGGAGATGGGATAAGATTCTGAAGGTTAAGTGACATCTGTCAATGCACAATACTTAAGGGAAGGCAGCAAAGGTGCCACTGGGTGAAATTCCTCTCATAGAAGAGCCGTTCAGCAGAGTAGCTGTGCATTTGATTGGACCACTAGCACCTGTGTCTGAGAAAGACAACTGGTACATGCTGACAGTTATCGACAATGGGCCACATTGTCCAGAAGCCATAGCACTGATGAAGATAGAGACAGAGAGAGTAGCAGAAACCCTCCTGGAAGTGTTTTGCAGAGTAGGCGACAGAGGGGTCCAGTTTGATTCAGAACTGAGGCAAGAAGTGTCCATATTCATCAGCACTAGGCAACTCTTTTACCATCCCGTACATCCCCAGATATAATGGATTTTGTATGAGAGTCAACATAGTCTTAAAGAGTATGCTAAAGAATATGTGCCAAGAGAGACCACATGACTGGTACAGGTACCTGCAGGCAGTATTATTTGCTTACTGAGAAGTCCCACAAGCAAGTTCATGAGTTTCACCTTTGTGTTGCTGTACGGAAGAACCTTAGAGGGTCCGATACAGATATTGAAAGAGCTGTGGACAGGAGAAGAAAAGTCAGAAGTGAGGAACACACACAGTACGTGTTAGACCTCAGAAACCGACTGGAGGAGACCTGTAAACTAGTGTAATAATCGCATATTGTATTGTAATAACAGAGTAGAGAAGAGGTTATTAGAAATATATACAAGTGACACATTAAAAATACGACTCTGCTGTATCACAAATGTACAATGTTGGTTTTCTTAATGAGTAAAGATGCAGTTGCAACAACATTTTCAACTTCGAAATAACTCTCCTTAAACTGGCCTATTCCAATTTAATTAACGTTTGTGTTTATAATGTATTATCTAGATAGAGAATGGTGCCAGAAATAAACATATCTTCAATACATGATCTATTGGCCAACCTGTAAGATAATTCTTTTTTAAAACTGCAAGTTTTTAAATTGGTGAGAGTTTCCACATTCTTGCCTTGAAAAGATACAAAAAATTCGTGCTATTCAGAATAAAACAAGCAGATAATTAATGAATTATTACAGAAAAATACTGGAAAGTAATATTTTAAATCATATATAAAATTAACGCCGTTAATAAAATAAACATCTTTCCTAACGTAAAGCTTTATCAATCTGTTATATTTCAAAAGCAGTTTGTCTCTAAAGGATTAGTTACAGTGACATTACACAACATATCATAGACGTTTTCAAAATTAACAGTTTTTTAGACTGTTTGTACTAGCAGTTTGCTTATTTAATTATATACTTTAATAAACACGATAACAGAGAAACAATCATTCTCCCTACCTGTTGCATAAAAAGCGACTGTTGCTGTTGTAAAAGTTGTTGGAGTTGGGTGGGAGACAGCACCTGTTGCTGAAGTAGTTGCTGCATTTGGTGGTGAGCCAGGAACTGCGAGTTCATCATTAACAAAGGTGAAATAGTCGTTGATGCGTCTTTCTCACCGTCCAGTTCTTTTTCTGGGGATATACGAGTTTTTCTAAAGAGATGATCTTTCGATGTCTGAGAAAAACAAAAAAAAACAACCATGTTAGAACGCAACTTTTTTTTCTCTCGAATCTTTTATTATGCTTGTCACAGAGAAACAATTTCGAAGTCGTGAAATGTTGTGTTACAAACATCTAATTTTTCACGAAATTAATCTAAATAAAACCAAGATTCCAAACATTTTGTAATTTTGTTTATCATCATTAAACAAATTCTAACTCCAACAAAATGTTCAAATTGATCTTTATTCCAAAAGTAAATAGAAGAAAGAAAATATTTTGGAAAAATTCGAAATCTTCCCCTAACATAAAATAACAAATACAAGATATTTGACCAAAATCAAACCTAGTTGATCGGTTCAAAAAACTTCGGTTCCTGGTCTTACCAGCACGTGTGTTTCATCTGTCATAATATACACACAATATATATCGGATTACAATGGTTAACCTAATTTTCGAACTAGAATTCAAATTTGTGGCATAAAAACAATACGTAAGGAAATGGCGTGTTTATGTGGTTTATAGCAAAATAATGTTTTCTTTAACGAATTCTGGAATGTTCTACTTTTGCACAAAAAAATACTGCAGTAATCAAGAGAGGACACCTTCAACAATCACTAGAAATGCCTATCATTTAGAAAATAAATCTGTACGGTATATTGTTAGCAACGGACAAACAGATGATGGTGCTCGCACAGAAAGGAAGGCAATAAAATCTCTGGATTCAATTATGTAAATAAGAATACATTTCTAGGAAGTGTTGTAAAGTGGGAAAGAAGAAGGTAATGACGAATAACTAGAAATTCTTATGAACAGACAGAAAGAATGGTTATATACACCAGTTTGACATATAGTATCCATTATATGCTTGGTTGTGGTAGCGCCACTACAAACCCATTAAATACCAGGTTAATAATATTCACGACACTGATATAGAGAAAACTTTCTATGTGTGTTATCTACAGCCCTTGAAGTTCACGGTCTGATTAAGCTTCCTGGACTTGCTATACATGCGTGGTTTTATTTAACCCCCTCACCCTCACCTTGTTCTAACGGGACAAACATTCGTTGTCATGCCAACAATTGCGTCAGGAGTGCAGGTGGTGTATAGAATGTACAAGTAAACAACGGAGTTGATCAGACTGCTGCATCTGTTAAAGATTTAAACAGATTAAAAGTTCATGCAGGGGTTTTATTAGTTCTATGAAACGAAAGATTCTGTTTGAGGTGTACGAGCTAGCTTTCACAGCAGCGCAGCACAACGATTAAAATAATCTAAAGTGGTTGGAAATGACGACCTAAATACCCTGTAGGATTATAAAAAACAATCGCCTTCCATTAAATTGACATCAACCGGATTTCCAGAGTAGCCATACTTTTATAAAGGATTATTACTCATCGACGCTCAGAGAAAGGAAAAGACTGTCTTCCATTTTATTTTTAATTTGTTCTGATAGACGCCCTTTCATGCTAACTCTTATCCAAGGCGGTTCTTCTGTCAGCAAATATATATCTGTGACAGGCTTAGGTTGAAAAGATTAACTTCGTTGGCAAAATCTGTTTTTAGAAGAACAAATCAAGTAACATTGCTGGATCAACATAAACAATAAACCAATTTCTTGGGCAAGAGATTCTGAGGTAGGGATTATAGCTGGTGATGATCCCTGAACTCAACTCAGTTGAGACAAAGATATCGTCAAGAAATATATGAGACACATTCAATTCCAAATAAGTTATTTATTTAAAGTATTTTGATATATTATTTATTATAATTACTTTATTTTCATTAAATAACATTGAAACAACATTTTTGTTAATTTTCAAGACTAAAGCATTTTAAAGAACTGATTTATGGACAATAGAAATCATCCGATGTGAATTACTTCGATACATAAAAACATCCTTTTTTTTCCAGAGATTTGTTTTTTAATTAAACACAAAGCTACACAAGGGTTATCTGTGCTCTGCCCACCACGGGTATCGAAACCCAGTTTCTAGCGTTGTAATTCCGCAGACATACCGCTGTGCCACTGGGGGGCATTTTTTTTCCAGAGAAAAATATTCCGTTGTTACCACCAAAGTAATGATTTTTACACATACATTTATATGTTGAATGACCTTATATGTTTATTTCTGCACAAAATAATGAAATAAAAAATTCATATTTTGTTTCTGCAACAAAATCGTTTCTTATGCTTGCCCTTCACCAATACAATTATCTATCTTAAAAACAAAACAAAAAATATCCGGATTGAGAATTGCGATATTCTAAAAACGCTTGTTGGATAGCACATTTAGTTAAAAGATTAGATCATTTTCCCGAAAATTATTTCCTCATGAGAAATGTTAACGTGCATTTGCTTTTGTAAAGCTAAATGAAGATGATGATGATATTCTTTTGAAACTAGGTTAGCTCACTACGCCTGTCACACGCTTCTACTACATCACGTTTCCTCATAGCAAGCTTCTAATAATTTGGGCTTTGTCACAATAATATATAAATAAACGTGCAACAAACTTCAAAGTGAATGTATCTTGTTTAAGTTCAGATCTAAAAACTCTGTGTATATACTTACAATATTTGACAACTCAATATCGGATAACCAACAAAAAACTGACGATGTAGATTGTCCTATTCGCTATGTAAACATTATATCACTATATAATCAGACAACTCAATAATAAAAAACAATAAATTGTACACTACAGTGTTACAAAAAAGTTAATAATGGAAAACATACCAACAGGTATGTACACAACATGACATCGTCCAATCACATATAATCCAACAATAGAAAGCACATAAATGAGTATGTACACGGCAAAACGTCATCCAACCAAACGTAAGCTAATAACAGCAAGCACATGAACGACTCAACGGGTATATACAGCATAACATAATCCAATCACACAACATAACAACATCTACTCAAACATAAGGCAGAAATAAAAAGCCTACCAAAGGTACGTAACACGGCATAACATCGCCCAGTTTAACTCAAGCTAATGATGAAAAGCATATTACCGAGTAAATATACAATATACAATCATTTCATCAAATAAAATAGATAAATTAATTGAAATAATACTAACGAATAATTACGTACAGCCATCCTAACAAACAATATTTAATATAAACAAAAACCTTAATAACAATAAATTCATAACTGTTTTAAGCACTGGTGAATGTTAGGAAATGACGAGGTTAATAAAGGACATGAAATCATGTTTTATAAATACATATATGTACATTATGTACGAGTACACGCTTTTAGTTATTTATATGTAACGGGATCAAATGAAAACTGACAACTCTGAGATTATTTGTCTTCATCAGAAACTATAGCCCAGTACAAGCTTTAACGACAGGCTCCGACTACCGATCAACATGCTATACTAAAAGGGCAGACCAAGCAAACAAATCAATTTCCTGGGCTGTGGTCAAGGTGTGTAAGTTCGGTCGCATGCAATACATCACCCGCTGTCACGAGTGTTTATGGTACGATTACCAAGAGGACGCCTGCACGTGAGCTTGAGATGCCGCGTTTGTAAAAGATGGACTTAAACGAACTGGCTTCCGATCTGTTTATTGTGTCGTTCGTAATGGTGAACCACGCAAGCTTAAAAGTTAAGAAGCAGAAGGTTTTGTCTTTCACGACATTTTGTTGGGGGCAATTCACGAAATATAAGTATAAAATCAACAATGCACTTTAAAGGAACAGGGGATAATTTTAAAGAATACTAAAAAACAAGGTTAAATATCATACGTTGCTCTAATATGACAAATTTGTATTGGCTGAATTAATACATATAAACACAGCTTCAAATATTTATTTTTGAAAGTTACTTCAAGAGATTCTTCATATTAGAATATAATCATAATATCTGTTGAACTACGTACACTTATTAAACTCACAGAGAAACTGTCTTATATGAACAACTTCAAGCCTTATTGTAACAGGTAGTAGAAAAGTCCAGAAACTTGCATGAAACCTATCTTTAATACGATGTAGGTTGTGTGTAAAAAATGCAATCTTCAAATGGTCAGCTAAACAGTCAGAAAGAAGTATTAACGAATTATTGATCCAGACTTTTAAAAGATTACGTTTTTATTTGTCTAGATTAAACAATGGTTTCTATGAAACTGAAATCATGTCTTTTAAAAAATAATACTAGAGAGTCTGCAAAGTCAACACGAGGATTCTAATGAAAGCATCAAAAGAAAATCATTGGAAAAAAAGTCTATAATAGCTTAGGAACCAGAAATAAATTTAAAAACTTCAACATTTTTTAAGCATTCATGTTCTGTCACGGTAAATACACACTTAAAAACTTGAAAAATCTGAAAATCTCAGTCTTAAACCAATGGAAACTAAAAAGCAAAAACGAAAAAAGCAAAAACTTAATTGAGAATACTTCGCAAGAGATGAGTGCAAAAACGTGCTAGAGTGATCATCAATTAGCCTGAAAAGGCGAAGAAAATGCCGAAAGGGGGCAACAGCAACCATTAATTAATCAAAAAAATAAGCCATTCTGATTTTCCTCGTTCACGATTTGTGATTTGTCTTTGTTGCTAGCATGCAATTAAACGTACAGAAAAAAAAACAACAAGAAAGTTCAGCACAACGTTAGAGACACATTCTGGAAAAGAAAATCAGGCAGATACAATGTAGGGGTTCTTCATCAGTCTTCGTCTTTACGTCCATAAGAAACAGCTACCATGCACCATTTGTCATTAGTTCCAGTCTTACATCATTAGCTTCAACAGAGAAAAACCTCCACCTGCAGTGTGGCCAACTGCAAAGAGCTGCTTATCCAGTCTATACATACAATTTTGATATTGGGGTCATTAAAGGATTGACTAAAACATTCTATACTTAAAACCACTTTGGTGATTAACTCAGTTAAAGGACTGTAGAAAAACATACGCTACAACAGATTTTCCGTTACAGTTATGCTTATGACACTAGTGACAGAGTGCATTTGAAAGATACTGATACATTAGTATCAGTGTAT